GGTATTTATGTCTTTTCTTCAGAAAAGTTAAGTTAACCTGTGAAATAAAAATATCTTTCAAAAATAATGTAATAATTATTAAATTATTTTAAATTATTGATTTCAGGATTAATTATGTGCATTTAATGGCACATTATGTTATGCATACTCAGATCAAAGCACAAACAGCAGCTTTTATCAAAGGGTTTAAATATGTTATAAATCCTGAATGGTTATCATTATTCTCTACTCCAGAAGTAATAATTTATCATTTTATCTGATTCTCTAAATTTTTAATTATTAACTTTAATTATTAGCTTCAAAAACTGATATCCGGAGACAATGCTCCAATTGATTTGCTTGATCTTAGAAGAACCACACAATACTATGGAGGATTTCATGACTCTCATCGTGTGATTCTATGGTTGTGGGAAGTTCTTCAAAAAGATTTCACAGAAAAAGAAAGATCACTTTTCCTGAAAGTATGTAGTAATTTTTTTATACTATTACTAAGTAAGAAATAAATGTCTTGAATATTCAATTTACAGTTTGTGACCAGTTGTTCAAAACCACCTTTACTTGGTTTTGCATACCTGGAGCCACCATTTTCCATAAGATGTGTCCAAGTAGCAGATGATGAAGACTTTGGTGACACACTTGGTAAACACAATTAAATTTACTTAAAATTAATTTGTTTTATTCTTAGTTTACAATTTTTTTGCTTATTTATAGTTAGTGTTATTCGAGGATTCTTCACTATTCGTAAAAAAGATCCAAATCTTAGACTACCTTCGGCTTCTACRTGTTTCAACCTGCTCAAGCTTCCAAACTATCAAAAAAAAAGTATTCTTAGAGACAAACTTAGGTATGCAATTTCATCAAATACTGGATTCGAACTGTCATGAATTTTCTTATGCCAACAAAATAATTTCATGTGAAATTAATTGAGGTTTATAATTGCTGATGTGTATGGTTATGAAACTAGGATGTACGAATTATGGCTATCTTATGTGATGTATTCAAATAATCTATATTTATGATTATTTGTAATTGTAATTCTGTTAGGACTGAATTAATCATTATTATTATTATTTTATATTGGAAAATTATTGATTTCYGAGTTATATCATTCCAAGTAATGAAATAATTTTTAAAACATTTATTATTAGGTTGATTTATATAGATAATAATATGAAGAAATATATTCAACTATTTAACATACTATCATATTAAAAAGTAAATTACTATACTAAAATTATTTTCATTTGATAACTAAGTGTATTATTATGACTTGTATGATGTTTTGAATGTCAGGTTTTTAAAAAAAAAATAGATTGCTTTAGAAGTATCAAATTTTTCAATATTTATCAATTGTTTCTATTCCATACTATTTAATTTTTAGTGTACATTTTTCCTTTAATATTTTGTCGAACACTAACTTACATAAATAAAATTATATTTTGTGATAATTGTTTTATTTTCTGAAGACAATATTTTATTATTACATACATTTATTTGATTTATATTCATTTTTAATATTCAATAGTCATCCATATGTCTTATCTGAATATATTTTATGTACTTAAAACTTGAGACTGATCATATGATGTTTTTACTGTTGAAAATGATTTAAAATATTCATTATTCATTAATAATGAACATTTAATGTATGTTTGTTTTTATTTTTTTAAWAAACCATTAAACATTGCTTTTATTTTAAAGCATACTACTATTTATTTAAACAAATATGTAATATTATTATTATTATTATATATACAAATTTTTGTTTTTGTTTTTCATAAATTTATCATGTAAATACATAGCGCATCATTTTTTATTTCATTTGATTTTTTTTTTTGATTTCATAAATTTATCATGTAAATACATAGCGCATCATTTTTTATTTCATTTGATTTTTTTTTTTGATTTCATAAATTTATCATGTAAGCTGTTTTTATAAATATTTTATTGTTTTTTTTTTTTTACTATAGTATGTAATATTGTCTTTAGCCAATAGATATAATAATAATATAAGTACTTTATGTACTTTATTAATATGATATTATTTCTTATTTTTTATTTATAGTTTCTCATATTATGTTATTCTGTAAACATAGWGCAATTTTTCATATTAATTAGTTAATCATCAATTAAAATATCTAACTTCTCATGTTGAAATAAAAAAAATTATATAGAAACATTATTTATATGTATGTTTTATCACTATATAAATTATAATAATACTTCAGTAGATACTAACAATATGTAAATTAAATGTATTTAGGCGTAAAACGAATAACATTTAAATGTTTGAGTGGTTTGTATTTTATGAACAATACAAAGGTACATATTTACTATATATATAACTTACTTTATCTGTAACATATATTATTTTAATTTATAAAAATACTTGAATAAAATATTTTATTGTTGAATAACTATTTTATATAACACTTAATATTATTTTTCTTTAATGCCTATGAGAAGCATGTAAGCTGGACCTTTTTTTATTTTGCCAGAAAAAAAACTAGTACCTAGTAGGAACTGTTTAGCACAATACTGCCACCGAGCTAAACCCTAATGGTAAAGTGTAAAACCTCAGGGTCCACGAATTAAATTAAATTTATTTATCCTTTCTATCTTGCCACCTTGGTTGATAGTAYACAAGTATAATTCATTAATCAGTTTAATTCTTATGGTTATACCTACTTAATACTTATCCATCAGTTCGTATACAAGATTTATGAGTTAGGACCACCAGTGAAGACAAGACCAACACACTAAACGAGTATGTACGACTACAATCGGTTATCTTTGTGATTTTTCATCGACGACCTCTGACTCGTTCAATCTAAGAGAATCGGTTATTCGACGCACGACTGTGCTTACCTGCAAGAATTACGACGAAGAAATTTGAGTGTATCGATACGTATCGGAACAATTGTATGCTTTCAAGAAGTTACACGTGCAGTATACAAGCGATACGCACCGACCCGTTTCGGACTTGAACATTAATTTATTGATGATATTCTAAAACTTAAAACAGATAACTACCGTAAATACATGAAATGCTCACTTAATATCTGAAGTAAAAAATTCTGTAACATTTTAAAATTGATTGTTTGCGTATTATTCTGAACTAGAAATACCTAAAAAWTTTTCTTACAATAACTAAATATTTTTAATGTAACTCAACATTCTCTGATTCCAAATTTATCGAAAGTCAAATTAATTTCTCATGAGTTTTAAAATCCAAAATTAATTTTTATTTTTTATTTGGCTTTTTATTTGCATGTGGGAGTGCGGGCTTCTTAGTTCTTACGTGTTTCCCACCAATTTTTTTTTCAATAACTTAATATTCGTGTTAAAACATCTATAACCTCAAAATATTTTCATATTCGTTCCCTTATGATAAGCATAAATGCCAAATGGCCTATCCATGATGTAGAGAAGGACCGGCCGCTGGTCTGATGCACATCGTGGGCCTTATCCATTCTTTAATATTTAGGGCTTGAACCAGAAGTGTTACACTGTTGTAGTTCCATTAGTTCCAATAGTACCATAGATAACTATCTTATTTCCAGTCCTATTTATCTTGGTCCGAATATTTTTATTTTTTTAGTACATCATTCGGTCGCGATCCGGTCACTCGACAGATTCGTTCATTTTGATCCATTTAATCGCGAGCCTCGCGACCAYCGCAACTCAATGTCCGACTCAGAACACGAAAGTGAAGACGAAATGATCGTCGAGGATGAAAATGACGAAGCCGGTGAATCGTCTGTCGCAGCTARTAAAAAAGAACCACGACAAGTTTACTTGCCCGGTCATCAGATGCAGGAAGACGAGTCGTTGGTATTCGATCCTTCTGCTTACCACATGCTGCATGATATTGATTCCGGTACATTTGTTCATTTAGGAGTTAGATAAATTGTTAACTTCCATACCTATTGTTTTAAAATTCAATCATCTAATTCCCATGTTAACCATTAGGTTTGCCGTGTTTGAGTTTTGATGTAATCATTGATGACATGGGTTGTAGCCGTAGTGACTTTCCACACTCTATGTATTTGGTTGCCGGAAGCCAAGCAGAAAAACCTAAAGACAATTGTGTATTTGTTATGAAGGTATGCACTCTACTCAATATCTCTAAACTATTGACACTCGACAAAATATAAAATATTATTAGTGTAATTTCAGAAATTGTTTTATTATATGTTACAATTATTTGTTTTAGCTATCTAATTTAAATGCGATTAAAAATGATGAGAGTAGTTCATCGGATGATTCAGATGTTGAGTCTGACAGTGATGATGATGAATCTAAAGATCAACCTGTGTTGCAAATATCATCAATTCCTCATTTGGGCACTGTTAACCGAATTAGGGTAAATTACAATTTTTTGTAGAATTTAACATTTAAAGACATGGATTGTGGTGTAACAAACACTATATAATCAGCAATATATATATAAATATTTAGACTGCATTACAAAAAATATAATAAGCATAATAGTTGTTTACAAACAAGTACAAAATATATTATATTTTCTCTTCTTCTACTGTCATTAGMAGTATCCTTTACTGTGAGATATTTGTATTGTAATGGTGTAAAATATTCTTACAAAAACTACAACTTACTGTTTTAAAACTTATTCTCTACAAAATGTATAAAATATTTATTATTTTCAAATGTTAATAGAATTCTACAGTTGATGACAAAGTATTTGCAGCTGTATGGTCAGAAAGAGGAATTGTCAACATTTATGATTTAAATAGTAAATTGAAAGAAGTCGAAAAAGCCCATAGAAATCGTAAAATTGGAAGTGAAGAAAAGAAAAAAAAGTTTGGTAAAGCTGCTCCCAAAAGAATAATGTCTGAACATAAACCTTTATATTCATACTCTGGGCATAGAGATGAAGGTTTTGCTTTAGATTGGTCTTCCAAGGCTCCGGGTATTAACTAAATTTTTATCTTAAAATATAAAATAAATTCTATTGATTTATTTTTTTATATTTTATCAGGATTTTTAGCTAGCGGTGATTGCAAAGGAAATATTCATACATGGAAACCAAGTGAAAGTGGTTGGGTTGTTAATTTACATTCATTAAGTGGGCATAAAGAATCTGTAGAAGATTTACAATGGTCTCCAAATGAAGTTAATGTGCTTGCTTCTTGTTCTGTAGACAGATCGTAAGTAAATATATAACATTTTATATCAACAGTATTAATGGTTCAACAGCTTAATATATTTTTTTTTCATTTAATAGGTTAAGAATATGGGATACACGATTAGCACCAAACAAAGCCAATATGTTGACAATTGCTGACGCTCATGATAGCGATATTAATGTCATAAATTGGAACAAAAAAGAACCATTAATTGTTTCTGGTGGTGATGATGGAAAACTTATGATTTGGGATTTGAGACAATTTAAAGTATACACYTATRTTTTATATACCTAAAGTTAAATATGATTCTAATAGAAACTCATTAAATCAGAAAGATAAAGAACTAGCTGTTTTCAAACACCACACTAGTGCTATTACAACAGTTGAATGGAGTCCAGATGACAGTTCTGTGTTCGCTTCTGGTGGCGAAGATGATCAAATAGCAATTTGGGATTTAGCTGTTGAAAGGGATACTACCAATGATAAAGATGACATAAAAGTATTTAATTATTATTATTTTTTTAAATAATATTTTTATTTATTTATTTATAATGGAAAACCTCATATTATGATGAATGTTAGTAYTTTTCTAGTGTATCAGGGACTCTTTAAAAATAATCATATTATGTTAAATTTTGCACTTTTAAGTATGGTAAGGTAGTGTATATCTGACTGATCTGGTTGCCAGTTTAGGAATTTCACACACTAAAACACCTCTTAATATGACATAAATTCATTTTTACTCATAACACTTAAAATTAAATACCTTTTTATAATTTTTAAAATAATTTTCTTGATTTCTATAGAAAAATAATAGGCGAGGCTCAGAACCGGGGCGTCACCTTTGATATTCAATGTACCTACACTTATTGGTCGTAGCATTTATGACTCATAAATTTATAATTATAATTGATTCTTTCAGGTCCACTAGAAGTGTTAATATTCTAAATTTATTTGACTAATTATTTTTCTGATTTAATTATTTGATRTGCTACATATTTGATTATTTTACATAGGAAATTCCACCACAGCTTTTGTTTATTCATCAAGGACAAGAATTTATCAAAGAGCTTCATTGGCATCCTCAGATTACTGGAGCTCTTATAAGTACTGCGCAATCCGGTTTCAATGTTTTCAGAACCATAAGTATATGAAAAAAATTATAACAGTTAAAAATATATTTAGTATTTGCTACTATATTACAGTTATTTTTTTAAAAAATACAATATACATACATAATACACACAATATGTTCATTTTTATAATATTATTATTATTATTATTATTTTTTTTTTGGAATGATTCTGTTTCTTTATTTACTGGTCAACATATTTTCCTTTTTTACACTACAGTGATTCATATAAGCTAAAAATGAGCTCCAAGCTAGACTGCACAGACTAACAAATGGAATCCTATTTTTTTCTGGAATCATTGTATAATTGAAAACTTGTAGTATAGGCCAAACCGCTACACCCACCTATTTGTAAAATAAGTAGAAAATAAATTTATTAACACAAAATAATATGATAACTTCATAATGGTTTTACTAAATTAATACGATTTTTCAAATATGACAGCAAAAAATTAAATAATTGGTTTGTTCTTTAAAAGGTACAATTGTGTTTCAGAAATTTGTGACATTAACACTTGATCAATCATTTAAAAATAAATTTTTAATTGTATCCTGATTTTATATTCAGTTTAATATATTTAATATTGATTATTCCCGCATGAACTCTCTGTCATTCAAGTRTGTAACATAGCAAAAACTGTTTCACGCCGGAAAGGACCTAGAAGTCTACAGTTATAATTAAGAAACCAAATTTTCATCATGAAAAAAAGAGAATTCAAATTGTGTCACTGCGTTTTTTCGATAAGACCAATATACTAAAAGTTATTGAAGTTTGGAAAACTTCAAAATATCAGATTTTTTAAAGTATTATAACTTTTTTCTTGTTAATGATATCCAAAAATATAAATGCTACGACAAATAAGATATTAACTTCTATATTGTGTTAACTTTTAGTGTTTCTACTAGGAGTACAGACGTCAGACTGAGTAATTCTATCCCACACTAAACAGTTTGTGTTATGTTACACACTTGTAAGTTAAAGACAACGTATTTGGGTATCACATCCTCTTAAGTTGGGGAAGTGAAATCTCATAACATTTATAATAGATATAAAAAGTCGTATTTTAAATTATACTTAGTGCATTATCATAAGTACATATTATATAAACATGATAATGAGACATATAGATTTAATAGCAATTATATCTATACAATTACTAATTGTAATATTGTATTGTATTGTACGGGTATTATAGAAACGCCTACACATAACTCAAGACTAGTGTTTATATTATTTTCAGTTACTTAAAATTCTTATGATGAATTTAAAAAAATTCTCAAATTTTTATAAATGCTTATCTAAAATTAAGTATTTTTATGTTGTTTAACTAAAACTAATTTTGGATATTATTTTTTAGTGGCCATTAACAAAGATCATCAAATTTAATACCTTATATGTCGGTAAAAACTTTTTTTCTACTTCTTTTTTTGCTTCTTCGACCGTCTTCCCCTCCAGTAAAGACATACCAAAATAAAAGCTCACCATTGCACAAGGTGAATACGTTACTTGCTCCAAAAGTGCCTGATAAATATTAATTTCGATATAATTTGTATATTTTGTTAAACCGTTGTATGGCGTTGAACCTTGTTATCTCACTTTTATGATTGCGCTACGGAGATCATTCTTTGGATATAAATAACGTGCAACAGTTAGCCATGCATTTAGAGTTGGTGCCACATAAAATGYTCCAAACAGTCCAAACCGAGCTGCTCTGGCAAGGTCAAATTGTTCGTCTCCAAAAGCCATTTGCTGTATAAGACATCCGGTTGGCCATATCACTGCATACGAAGCCATTCCCCTGGTGACTGGGTAGGCGATCGAAAACTTTACTATTCGGGCAAAGACGGTCGTCATTTTCGAAGATAGTTATTTTCACGCGGGACCTACAGCAAGTCGGCAGTATTGTGACTGCATGACTGTAGGAAGTTTTCATTATTTTTGTGCGGTGTTATTATTTATAGATATGATGGTGGTTGCCAATTACAAAATTGGGTGATCTTGAATAAACCTTGAAATTGGCCATTGCCAAAATTATACGTATGCATATTACATATATGAATATTATTACGTAGGTACCTACATATGTCATTATTTATTTTTGATTTTCTAATATCTAAATTGGAAAAATGTTATACGAAAAAAAAAACGGCGTATAGTATTAATCAGGTATCACGGGAATATGCATAAAATAATAGTAGTAATAATACATAATAATTATTAAATATCAAATTTTGCTTTTACTATAAAATCATATGTTTGATGGATGAATCGAAACAAACATTTTGAATTTTAAATGTTTACAGTAGGTGATATGACAGGGGCGTCAGGGTGTGCGGTTTCACCCCTTACTTTTAGAATGTTACAATTGGCCTGCGCCTTGCTGAAGCCTAAAATAATGCATGAKCCACTTATGCACAATTATTTATATGATTAAAATCAAATTGTAATAACCGGTCTATAATGTATGGAAATAATTGAATGCAGGATAATATATACATATACGTACAAATGTATATCTATTTTTATGTGGCCTGGTGAAATTTCAAAATGGCCTGTTTGAAACTTTGCACACCCGAAAAAAAACCTGAAATGACGCCCCTGTGATATGATATATTGTATAAGGTATAAATATATCAATATCATCAGCAGTTAAACTCTTACTGTTTTCTCTGAACTAACAAAAAAAGTGAAAAATAAAATACTATCATAGGTACGTAGATATTATATTTATTGATAATACTCAGATACATTTATAGTTATTTAAGGACGAACCATCCACTATTAATGATTTTAACTGAGAATTTCGTATCTATGTAGTGGCGGCTATCATGTGTCAGTATAGGTGCTCATCAAGAACCTCATCTATAACTACAGACAGTCTACAGTAGACGGATTATAACAATTATTTGGTCTTGGACATTCAGACCTCTGCAGTATCAAATCATGAGACATAATACATAAATATATAATGCTCTAATATACTAATAAAGTAGATTAATAGAACATTAACTATGTTATGTCTACCACAGAAATTAAAATAAGCTTTATTATATGTTTGTAAGTTAAAWAGTTTATTATGAAATAAGTCATTTTTTGGGTTATCCAAAATACTGGTCGGACAACRTCATGTGCAAATAAATAAAAATTGTAAATAATTATTTCTAACTAACCATCAATTTTACTAATTTTTATGAACAAATAAATGATAATTCTGTTTCGAAATGAATTTTTATTTTGTATAAAAATTTAAATAACTGTCTGTAGTTAGTTTTAAAAATATATAATTATAACAGTAAAACCTAGGTTTACCTATAGTGATCGGGAATTAACGGGAACATAAATATAGGCATATTATAAATTGCGACTATCAGCAGATTATAATATTTATTATAAGTAGGTAGGCAATATTTTCGTGATAGCCATAGCCATTTAGTCAAAGGACATTACGATGAGGACGTAACTGCCAAAACATTTGTATTTGGTTAAAATTAATTATCTCCCTATAATAGAAACAGAAAAAATATTTAATTCTTGATTACCTAAAAAACATGATTTTAATACATAAAATTGTTTAAAATATGTTTAGGTTAATTGAATAAATAATAATCAAAAATAAATTCGAACGTTTACCTTTTSACCCAATAATTAATGTACGCTTAAGACAAATTTTTAAAATAGATATTGATGAATTCAAGGTCACTTGGCTACTAATGGGAGCAATTCACTATATCATTTTTACTACTTGTTCTTTATTATGGACCCCATTTAAAATCATCCATCCAAGCATATATCTATATATTAATAATTTACATTCGTCCCAGAAGTCCACTGTTACGAGGTAGGTTTTAGCTGTTGTGGGTACCMAACTTATATATAGTGTGCATGGCTCATACACTCTACACTGAGAAATTTCTGATTATACTGCCAACTGATGATGAAAAAACTTATTATTTTATCTTTTTAAGGACTATATAGTATTTACACGTATAAAGTGGACATGTTTATTTTGTACCTTATTCGTTGGAGTTTATATTGCCTATGATCTAAACGCGATGTTTTTATTTGTTTTATATATGTAGTTTACCWATCAAGACGTGTTAGTGAGATGGTTTTTAGAAGAATAATTATTACATCCYTTTGAATCTTGCCATATGACGTCTTATCGACTTCTCGTCTAATCCTCTCTAGAACACCTTTAACAGCATATTGTTTTAACTACCTAATAGTTGATGTGAAAAATCTTAAATATCATATGTGCAATAGAAATGTGTGTACGGACAGTACAATTATTGTAATTCGGTCCAAAGCGAATAAAAACAAGGCATTATACCTAGTTTAACTTTACGTTTCCGACAAAAAAGCATCATGCCATCGCCCYGTTTTAAGACTTGGAGATGTTTTGAGGTAGGTATATAAACAAAATATATATAGTACCTACCACTGTACCAGGTAATAGACAAATTTAATCTATTCAGTTTAATAATAGCCATATAGCCAATGGGTCAGTACATGATTGCCAATTGGAATCATGATTGGTATTGCTAAAACCCAAAATACTACCTACATAAGACCTATATAGATACAAAAACCCTAGTTAAAAATTTAAAAAAATCAGTTTGACAATTACAATAAAGCTAATTTTAAATGCATATATCACGCATTAGCCAATATAAAATGGAGGCGCAATAAATTATTTCAAAACCGCATAAATGTTTAATATTTGCCAATATAAAACAATTTTTACRGATAGTATGCCAGAAAAAACTTGCATTTAAATTAACATCTAGTAAATTTATCAACAGGTTGTATGCAGCTTAATATGCAGGTAAGGGTAATCGGGATATAAGATAATGTATTAGCTAAAATAAATCTATTTATAAATAATATAAAAAAATAAATAAAAATATTTCATGATCATAGGTAATAAATTATATCATCGATATTGAATAATCTAATATTTTGATGGTTATTATAGCGTTATGATTAATAACTTGGCCTAATTACCTATTGTGGTAGATCCCATGTATTGACGCGAAGATGCAGAAGCTTGTAATTTTTTTTTTATATAGGTAATAAAATAGTAGCTTATAAATTTGGAGAAATTAAAATTTTTAATTTACCGACTAGGTGAATAATGTAGAATGAGAATTGAATGTAAAATTTAGCCGGGGATAATATTTAATAGTTTACCATAAACATATTATTTAGTTATTTGTAATTTATGTAAGATTCAATAATTTATAATTTTAATTGGGACATTTTCTAAAAGATAGGTATGAACACACACTGGCGACTTATAGACTATTAAAGTCGCTTAGATGAAGCTTTGCCGCTGTYAYGAGGTTATTTAGTTGTTAATATTTTTAAACTGAATAGTATTTAATTTTCAAGCATTTTGACCCAACAAATAAAATTTCATTGACATTAATAGGAAAAAAACTAAAAAATTGAAAATATCCGTTTGATCAACTTAAAAGTATAGTTAAAATATTTAGKTAATTTTAACAAGTATAAGAAACGATAATGATAAAATAAACATTTGTTGTAAATTTMGATTATCTACACTTATTTGATTTTTAAATATAACAAAATAGTAAGATCGTTCCATGAGAAATTAAGTAAATATATTGAATCTTGTAAAAATGTAAACTTAAAAAGCTTATAAACATTTAAATAAACCAATCTTACTTAATTTTTAGTTAGATTTTTCCAGTAAATATTTTTTTTTTTTATAAAGGTAGACAAGTTTATGAGGAATCTTATATTACATTTTTAAGACTTCCACGTTCCAAATATCCCACTTGTTCAATTATCAGTTATTAAAAGACAAATTTGCGTGTATATCAAATATCAATATTATTACGTTAGAAGTTAAAAATTATACTACTTTTAGTTTTTAAATGTGCCAACTTAAGGTTTATGTAAATACTAGACTGGTGGAAATTCCCCCACCCCTAAATTAAATATTTAAAATTTAGTTATACACTTATATAATTAAAATTTTTAAGGTCCTTTTATCTCGAGTGAATATACCTAATATTATTAAGTTATTACTTATAATAAAAAATAATACATTATTTTTAAAAATTTAGCTCTAAATTGTGTCAGAGAAACCATTAAATATTTTACTTAATAACATATCCTATCCTGCATTTTGGCAAGCTTTTTCCCAGCTAGCTATGAATAAAACCAAAGTAGTATTAACTTTAATAAATTATGTAAATTGAAGTTCCAGTAGAATTATAGATTTAAAACATATATCTTACATGTTTCATTGTAATTTTTTTTTTATTTTACACATGATAATCGAATATTTTTATWGTAAGTTATGATAGTAAATGTACTATTAATTTGTAAAAAAAAAATAAGTATTCACATATGCTTATTATGTTAATAGTCTTGGTACTTTCTCATTTAATAAACTATTAGGATTATTCTTTATAAGCAGATGTACAGGATTTGYAAAATAAACACTGAAACCACAGTTAAACATTGAAGAGACAAGAGCTATAACTAGTATCATTGATTATAAATACTATGGTCTACAATAAAACTCTCGGTAGATGGCGATAAGAACTAGTATTTATAATCAATGCTAGTATGTTAGTTTCTAACACATTTAATGAGTAATTAAAAAAATTAAAATTTAATAATTAAGTAAATTATATATAAATCTTCAAACTAAATAWACTTATTTTTTTCCTGTTAGAACCGACAGCAGAGGAGGATCTGTTTGCACAAAACTAAATAAACTTGATCTATAAATTATATATTATATGTTTAAGAGTAATTTAGACATTTGTAAAAGGAACTTAAAAATGCTCAAACAAATATGGCTCAAAAGACCATTAATTTAATATATGTAAAAGTTAATACGGTATTTGTAACTTTTAATGGGCTGCGGGCGATTAACAAACATTAACAAATGTTTTATATGAATACTACAAATCTTTTATTATTTTAAAACAACTTAAATCTACTCTACAGTCAACGCACATTACGGTTCATACATCAGTACATCACACACTAGGACTGATAATAATAATAATAATAGTAATAATGATAGAAATCATAATAATAATGATAATAATAATAATAATAATCCCACATATATATGGCAATCTCTAATTAAATTCACACCAAAGAACAGTCAATAAATGGTTTTTTCTTCTTACCAACATTCCAACATTAGCATGTAGGTCGTATATTGTATAATTTCCAAAATAAAAATAAATAAATACAATTTGTATACTAGCACAACACACATTTATAAAAAATTTAAATGATAAATATTAAAAAATTAAAAAATTAAAACATAAGTACATTCATTTAAAAATTAAAAATAAAGACTGTATAATAATGGTAAGTGAATACAGAGTTTAATAACTAAGTTAAAAATTTAAAAAAAAATTAATATTTAATTMATATTTATGAAAGTTGTCAATATAAACAAATTTAAACCAAAAGGTAACTACAAATTTCATCAAATGTTTCTGTCTGCGTCAAATGGTCATAACCGTTAAGCTCAGTAATCTTTAATGCATTAAAAGCATTACCTAACAACCAAGCACATTCATAATTTAAATTGATATCTCTATTATTAATCAATATATTTCTTATATTAAATCCTTTCTCACGTAGTAATGCATAAAGAAGTACTAATGCTGAATGACCAGTACTATCAAGAGCTATAATATTACTAAATGTTCTTAAAATAGGCACTAAACATGTTATATCGATGATATCTTCATTTAAGGCGTTCAATAAATGTTCCATACATTCTGAATGATGCAATATCATTCCACGATAACAAGAAATTTGATACACTATCCAAAATGATTCTTTCCATGTATTCAATCGTTCATAACACGCGAGTAGCAATTTATTTAGATCTTCAATCCTATTGACATAAATATAATAATTAGTTTTAAACATGTTATACTTTCTATAGATTAATTTTCAGTCTTACTGTAAGTGGGGCAGATAGTTTTTAAGAAACAGTCTTAAGGCATAAAAGGTATTGAAAATAACTTCATCACAGAATGAATTTTGTAAGCGATCAACCAGTGCATCAAAGAATTTATGACTTTGAATTATTTTGCATGAACCTGGACTAGAATCACTCAAATTTCCAAGAGTCCAGATACACATAGCCTAGAAAATAAAACCATTTACAATAGAAAATCTAATTTTTGATTCTTATATCTTGCTAATTGGTTTATTTCTTTATCTATATCTATAGAAATATCCCAATGCATATGCATTGAATGATAAATTATGTCCAGTATTTATATTTWAAAAATGTTGAACCYCAGAAATTACATTTCAGTTATGACTTTGTGTGAGCTTAACCAGATTTTAAGTCCTCTTAATGTWGAAAATGATCTTACAGTGGTAATATGATTCACAGCTACAAACATTAAAACAATTACTCTGAACATAAGGTGTCAAACAAATTAACAATAAGAAACCAAACAAAATTTTAAAGTGTATATTATATTAAATTAAATTATATAGTAATAACCTATTCACCTGTTCTTTTTTTAAATTATTGGAATTTAAGGCCATTGCCTCCTGTCCCTCCCCCCTTAAAGTTGCAACTGTCCTTTTATTAGACAAAACAACAGAAATTGGAACAAAAATGCCCTAATTACATTATTACACAAATTATATGTACCTATTAAAAAGTAGCATTAAACAAAACAATTATTATTAAATAGTTTTAAACCTACAATAATGATTTGTTTAATTTATATGAGGTTTAATATCATAATGTATCAAATGACAATTTGAAGGAAGGTTATGATATATAMACACTCTCCATCCATTGGGCAGGGATTTTAGACTTTCAGTTGGTCAATTTGTTTGACTTTTTAAAATCTGGTTGGCAATTTTAAAGACTGCACTACCACATGGATTTTTTTAGATTATCTCTTTGTACCTATGTTTTACATTGTATATATATGTTAGGTAAAAGTATGAATACCGGTTAAAACTTAGGGAACACAAAACTATTTTTGGTCAAACCACAAATGATTTTTGTAGTTCAGACTTTTACAAATAAGATTTGGTAAATCTTAGGATAAACAATCAGTTTTAGTAAAATTCAGAATTTTTTTTACTAATTATGTTAATAATCATTAATTATTATTATCATACTCACATTTATATTATTGTTAAGTATTATAGGTATTAGGTACATTAATTACTAGTATATCGTTTTTATTATAATTAAATTAATTTTATTATAAAACTATTTATTTGTGCAGGCTTGACTACAGTGGCATCTCGAGTTGCACAAAACATTTTTGGATCGACACTTACATCTGTTAGTCAAACATTTTYCAAACAATCATACCTTATTAATCCTTGTTCACCAGTCAAAGACAGTTGCAATACTGCTTGTCAAACACCAATTTCATTATCCGGTATTATTGTCAATTCTAAAAAGTTTTCTTTGTATAAGGTGAACTAATTGCAAATATAAATGTATGTGTCTATTATACTATTCATTAATGTGTTACCTAATATACTTAAATAATAATAACTATTAATAACATAATTAGTAAAAATGTTGGAATTTAACTAACACTGATTGTTTATTTTAAGATTTACCAAATCTTGTTTGTAAAAGTTCGAACTACAAAAATCATTTCGGTTTTGACTGAATAATTTTGTGTTTCCTAGATTTTCCCGAAATCCATTATTAAATGTCCTTTACAGGTAAATCCTAGGTTTAACCGCCGGTATTCATACTTTTAGCATAACATATATTCTGTATTAATTATAAAACTCCTTAGATGACTATTGACTATAGATAATCAAGAGTTAACAATAAATTGTATTTATTTCATAACCAAAATCTAATAAATAATCATTATCAATTTATAAACTTACAGATATATTATAATTCAAATGGTTGATGTACATCATCAAGTATGATGTAATCAATTTTGTCAATTTTAAACATATTCTTTTATCTCCTAAAGACATGTTACAAAAACATTCAATTGCTGCTAACTGTACTTCTTCATTTTTACCTGAAATTAAATAAAGCAATACTTAATAGAAGTATAGAACTAAATTAATGAAAACAATAAATTACTAGTTGCAAGATGAAGTAAGGAATCAGCTGCCCCTTGAACACGGATAAATACTGAAACAAAATCTGTACCGCACAGAAAACCATTTCTTAATAATCTTAATTGTTTGACAGTAATTTGTTTTTTATTCTTAATTTCTAGTGCTAAATTTGTCATGACTTCAATTGTAAATTCATTATTTTCTTCTTCTTCAACTATAACTCCTCGTCTTGAGTTCAAAAGAACTTGTTTATATTGCTCACGATGGACATTTATGTCATAACGAATCTTCTGTTTTACTCGAGCTGTTGAGGCGGAATTCATGGTAACACAATATGCAACTAGAATGAAAAACTTAACTGTCAAACTGTAATATTTAATGCTATGAGTATGAAGTTAAAGTTCTGCATTGTCAATAATATACTTAAGACCGAGCGCCTATCAATGCAGTGAAAAAATACTGACATTACCTAGTGCATGTGACATGCYACATGTCTACTGCAATTACCTCATTGCTCATTTCACATARTAAACATACTGCTTTGATAGGCGCCCAAYCCATGAGGATGTTACACCCGCTGCTCTGTCTCGGTCTTTCAAACGTGTAACATGGCAAATTATTAAATATGAATAATCCATTCACTCTGTTTTTTTTAAATAGTCATACTTGTTTTATATTTAAAAAAACTATGAAGCTCATTAGATCATATTCTTACTTTTAAATTTGATATGTCAATTAGCTATTATATAAAACATACCTGATTATTCAAAACATACAATTTGCTATGTTATCCATTTGTAAGGCAGAGACAATGCATGCAGGTATAATGTCCTTTTGATACAATAATATAATGTATGAATAAGTAACTAACATATGTCTACCATATAAAATTAGTTTTTATATTTTGTTCAAATACAATGAAATATTGAAAAAATGATGTGATTCAAATTTCAGTTTTGAAAATAATGTGAGACTAACTGTAAAAAGAACTTACAAGTCTCTGAATACAGATTAGCGATAAGTCTATAAACATCTATACTGTGGCCTGCGATTCAAGAAACATCATAACATCATCATAAAAGAAACAACAATATGGAACATTTTAAATTTGAATTTTATCTAATGCACTACTGTTCTGCGCTACAGCTGCAGCTGAAGTACGGCAAGAGCCAAGACCCAAGAACACGGACATATTATCACCATTCGCCATAGAACAATATGATATCACGGAACAAAAAATATGTATATGACAATATGAAGCCATACCCATAACCTCAAAAAACGTCTGTAGTGCAAGCAGTGCAGCGCTCAATTCTACAGTGGTAAATGCCGATATAAGGTTTAGTTGTCTGACCTTACTTTAATCTTAATAGTTAATACCTTCCAAGACCGTACAGATTATAATATAAAATATAATATAATAATGTAATATATTATTTAATATTTATATTAATAATGTATTATATAATTATATAATCTGTATTCTGTCTCTGTGGTGATAGAGACAGAAGAGATGATGGTACAGGGTTTATTCATGTTTTTATTTTTTATGGAAAATATGAGAATTAATAATTTTTCCAATGATGTACATTTTTTATATTAAGGTTTTAATAGTTTTTAATTCAAATACTATTTCCCGCGGATAATTGAACTATTCTATATTTCTATACACCAATACTCATAATATTATTTTTTTAATTCAATAGATTAAAAGACCAAAGTATTTTAATTACTAGACATTATACCATACTACGTGATACATTCAAACTATAAGTAGGGAGTAAGCCAATTCATAACTATTAGGTACAGTTTAATTAAGTTCACACATAAAATAATTACAAAAGAAGAGTCATTTTTCAGGACAAATTAAAACAGCAAACATAAATGTCATCTAATAAATAATATTTATTTTGCTAAAACTTGGTTAAATAATCTCATAATAAAAAATCAGTCACAACTTAAATCTACCTAAACCTAATGGATACTTAACATTTAACAATCAAAATATAGGACACAAATCAGTAATCACACTACCTAGTATTAACAAAATATACAATGAAAATTGTATAATTAAAAGGAATATTAGTCGACTTCTTCGATGGTAGGTCCTCCGGGACGCGGTCCCGGGAAACCATTGGCGCCGGGACGAGGAGCATCGCCGCCGGCATGTCCTGCTCCGTGTATCTTCATCATTAGCGCAGAACAGCTCTTTTGGATTTCCTTTAGTTTGTACTCGTATTCTTCTTTATCTGCCAACTGATTGTTGTCCAACCACTGAACGATCGCGTCGCATTCTTTCTTGCAGGTGTTCTTTTCGGATTCGGTCAGCTTGTCACCAGCCTCGTCCAACGCTTGTTTAACGCCAAACACGTAGCTTTCCAACTGGTTCTTGGCCGCGATCTTAAGTTTTTGTCGTTCATCTTCTTCTTTGTACCGTTCRGCCTCGCTGAGCATACGATCGATTTCGGCTTGAGACAGGCGGCCCTTGTCGTTCTTGATGATGATATTCTTGGAACGCCCAGAGCTGTTGTCCTTGGCCGACACGTTCAAAATACCGTTGGCATCCATATCGAAAGTCACCTCAATTTTGGGCGTACCTCTTGGAGCCGGAGGTATGCCGGTCAGGTCAAAAGTTCCCAACAGGTTGTTGTCCTTGGTCATGGCCCTTTCTCCTTCGAACACCTGGATGGTGACGGCCGGTTGGTTGTCCGCGTACGTGGTAAACGTTTGGGTTTGTTTACACGGAATAGTGGAATTGCGTTCGACGATCTTGGTCATCACACCACCCGCCGTCTCGATGCCCAGCGACAGGGGAGTGACGTCCACGAGCAACACGTCTTGAATCGCAGAACTCGTATCACCGCTGAGAATGGCCGCCTGTACCGCGGCACCGTAAGCAACTGCCTCGTCGGGGTTGATGGACAGGTTCAACGGTTTACCGCAGAAATAGTTTTGCAGTAGACTCTGGATCTTCGGGATCCTCGTCGAACCGCCCACSAGCACTATGTCGTGTATGTCTCCTTTGTCCAACTTGGCGTCCGCCAATGCCTTCTCAACYGGYTGSARWGTCGATCTRAACAGATCTGCGCACAGCTCCTCGAAACGAGCACGTGACACTCGCGTGTAAAAATCGACGCCATCCATCAGAGCATCGATCTCTATCGTGGCCTCCGAACTGGACGACAGCGTTCTCTTGGCGCGTTCTGCGGCCGTCCTCAACCGTCTCAGCGCTCTAGGATTTTTGTGCACGTCCTTTTTACATTTCCTCTTAAACTCTTCGGCCAAATGAGACACCAGTCGGCTGTCAAAGTCTTCGCCACCCAAGTGTGTGTCACCCGCCGTTGACTTCACTTCGAATATGGAACCCTCGTCGATCTGCAGAACGGACACATCGAACGTGCCACCACCCAGGTCGAATATCAACACGTTCCTCTCGCCTTTCAGGTTCTTGTCCAGACCGTAAGCCAAAGCTGCAGCCGTCGGTTCGTTGATTATCCGCATCACGTTCAGACCGGCTATGGCTCCCGCGTCTTTGGTCGCTTGTCTCTGCGAATCGTTGAAATACGCCGGCACGGTGATTACGGCGTCGGTTACGGCACGGCCCAAATACGCTTCCGCTGTCTCCTTCATTTTCGCGAGCACCATCGAACTGATTTCTTCCGGCGCGAATACCTTCCGTTCGCCYTTGAATTCCACTYGAATCTTGGGCTTACCGTAATCGTTCACCACTTTGAACGGCCAGTGTTTGATGTCCGCTTGCGTCTTCTCGTCGTCAAATCGACGGCCGATCAACCGTTTGGCGTCGAACACCGTATTCACAGGGTTCATCGCCACCTGGTTCTTGGCCGCGTCGCCGATCAACCGTTCGGTGTCCGTGAATGCCACATAACTCGGTGTGGTCCTGTTGCCTTGATCGTTGGCGATGACCTCAACTTTCCCGTGTTGCCAGATACCCACACAAGAATAGGTGGTACCCAGGTCGATACCGATCGCTGTCCTTCCGACCATTTCGGCAATATAGTTGTCAAACTTTAGTCACACTACGCACAATTAATACGATAATAAAGAATTATACGAGAGTCAAAACGTATTTTTTTTTTATAGATAGTATGYACGTATTGAAAACAAAATACAAGTATAGATAGTAGGTACCGCAATATTCGAGTATACGATTTATAATCACTTAGTATTTTAATTTAATATCGCACTGGCAAATAACACTGAGGATCGTAAGTGATTGTGTAAGATCGACAATATCGTTGAAGTTGAACCTCTCTCAATGAACCGCACTGTTATCGCTTCGAATTCAAACTGTTGCTGGGCGGTGCACGTTCAGCGTATATATAATAGACCGAACGTTCGAGAAGGTTCGAGATGTTTCGTGAGCCCACTCGTGAAGTCGTGACTGCGGCGCCGTCACCCCACTGTACAGCTAATTCGATACCGAACTGTTTTGATAAATATAATACAACAACGGCACTAAAGAACGTTCTAGAACTTTCTCCATCATTATTGTTAATTTTTATTTTCATTATGTTTGTTCGCCAAACGTCTCTATATTTGTTTTTATTTCATTGATTATAATTTATAGATATAGGTAAGGAACGTGGTATAACAGGTATAGACATTTAAAGCATTTGTTTTTTTTATGCCCAATTCAACATAATATAGGTCATTATTTGTATGATATACATATTACATAATAGAACTACTGTTGTCCTGATCATTTTGCCCAAATCCAAATAGTATGGCGACTTAGTAAGACAGTAATAATAGTCTTTAAATGTGAATAAAAATCAATAATATTCGTTGAGAATTAAAAAATTGCATAAAATGAATAATATTGGATGAATTAAGATTTAATATATTTCATGTAAACAATTGAATCAAATTAATAATTAAAGTTTAATTAGAAGATAGTTTGAATCAGTATACAAAACATAAAAATCAAAATAATATCACCACATACAAATTTAAATAGATAATTTTATATAAACGAATTAAATAAATTGTTGAAAGTAAAATATTAAAAACAAATTTTAATTTAAGCTATAAAGGGTATCCAGTAAGCATTTACCCATTGCTATATCTCCTGAAGGCTGAAATAATGAAGATATCAAAAATCTGGTTTTGTAATAAGACTCACAGGGATAAGAACTAAAATAATTACATATTTTTATTGTTATAATGTTTAGATGAAAAAGTTAAAAACAAATTATTTTATTTTACTATTTCCAAAAAAATTGAGTATAACCATTTTAAAGAGATTATTTTTCTAACAATATTGACGTTTCAACATTTTATTCTTCATAAATTTCCTGATTTCAATTTTAGATTCTAAGCGGAGCGATGAATGGATTGATTTTACCATGATTTGTGTTTTTTTTTTT